CAGCACTCTGAACGTTTTCAATTCTCTGGAATTTGGGAGTCGAATATCCACCATATATAGTCGACTCTTAAATGCTTGAGAGTCGAATCTTTGTTCCTAGATTCGACTTTTTACTTAAAGGCATATATATAATAGCCTTGACCAACTACTAGGGAAAAAAAATGTACTATGCAACTTTCAGCAACATAAGCCTTATTGCTGATATAAATTTTTAGCAACAAGAGATATCTTACTGAAAGTGGAGCTCAATTACATAGGAAAATGGTTACCGGAAAATATCAACAACATGGGGTATGTTGCTGAAATTTACTTTCAGCAACATACTCCTTGTTGCTGAAAGTGGAGTAACTTTTTAGGGAAAAAATATACTATGCAACTTTCAGCAACATAAGCCTTGTTGCTGATATAAATTTTCAGCAACAAAGGATTCCATGTTGCTGATGTATTGTTGCTGAAAACTTAAATTTTAGTAGTGTTTTAAATTTTAAATTCTTAATCGTTGAAATATTTACTTAGAGAGGTTAGATTGTCTTTGTTTACTAACCTTCCCTGCAATCAAATTTCTAATAAAAAAAAGAGAATTCAAAATGTGGGACCAATTAATAATACATTTGTTAAGAAAATTGGAACATCAATAATACCACTCATTGAGATTGGATGGTGCAAAACCAATTTGTCCACTCTACCAATTATAAATCATTAAGGGGAAATGATCACAAGCCTAAAAAATGCTAAGACTAAAATTACATCAAATTTTTTTCTCAATTATAGAAGTTATTAAATTAACCATTCGGTTGAGCTAACTTAGAGCATAATTAATAATTATTTTTACGCCAAATCAATTAATGTTAACTTATAATTAAGATAATCATATTTTTGTTATAATTTAAAATATTTAATTTATTTTATTAGAATAAACAACTAATCTCATAAATTTTAATGAGTCTCATTTAAATATGATATACAATGTAAAAGTAATTTACAATTGAAAAAAGTTCAGCTTGTTTTCAATGTTAGATTTGTTTACTTGTAAATCACAATTTAATCATTGAACACTATTATTTTTTTATTTTTGTTACTATTATTTTGGGCTGCTAGATTTTTCTTAATCCAAATATTCATTTTTGGTAGGTTTTTAAATCCAATATATTCGTTACTCATGTTGTTTGCTATACTAGCGTTTTATTATTTAGATAAATTAATACAAAATTAATCAATCGTTTTGGTTGCTTTAGCTATTAATTAGGTCAAGACCACGTGCCCCGTTTAGCTAGTTTAGGCCACTGGATTATTCATTACTTTTCCAACGGCTAGTTTGAATTTGAAAGAACCTATACTTCCTTTTTAAATTTAAAAGTAAAATTCGAATCTCACACATCTAAATCAAAATATGAGAATTTTTTTATAAAATTAATATGGCTACTAATTCAGAAGAACGTCTCAAAGAAATAACTTATATTTAATTTTTTATTTGAAGAGATTTCCAGGTATATTACCTAAACCGTACTAATATTAATGAAAAATTATTTTACATAAAATATAAATTTTTAGATGAAAATTGAATGTATGATATTAAATGTCATTCTTTTGTCTTTATTTTATAATTTAAAATAATTTAAATTATAAAATAATAAACTCGTATTGATTTCTACTTTTTACATTAGAATCTATCATCAATCCGGTTTTGACATTAAAACTATTGCTATTAAATAAGAGCCATGCAATTAGAAGAGTAGTTTAAATTTAAATTTAAAATATATAACAAAACTTAAAAAAAAGCTATCAATATAAAACATATTTTTTGTATAATTTATTTTGATTTCTTTTACTACCAATACCGCGTGTCATTTTCCACAGAAGTTATGAGGACGCCAATTGGCTCTCAAACCTTTGCATGTGACGGCATTATATCTTCACTTACCTCTAGATGTCTTCTCACCACAATTTCTTTCCCTTCTTCCTAGGTAAAGCAAAAGGCAGCGAATCCAGGCACTCTTTTCCTTTGTCCCTTTCCTTAACACAGCAGATGATTTCTCAATTTTTACGTAAGATAATCATAAAATTACCATCTTGGTTGGTAGAAAAAGGCAAAAAGCTTAAGGCTTTGACGTTGGCACTGGCTCTGAAAAGGAAAAGACCGGTTTTTAGTGGTTAAGTAATCCTGCCCCCCGCGGAAATTTGGGGTGAAAGGAAAAAGCCACCCAAAAATTTGAGATGAGTGTTGGGGAGAGAGAGAGAAAGAGACCCCATCTCTGTTAAGTATGTGGGGGGCCCATTAACCCAACCCTGAGGGAGAAGTGGGGTCTGTCTCACTTGCAAAACCCAGCTGTGTCTTCTTCATATTCTCTCATCATTCATTTCATTGACATCTACCCCAGTTGAGATCTGTATCCTTGCTTTCTACTGCAAGGAAGAGGCTGCACTGCAGCCGCTTTTAATCCTTTTTGTTTGTCTTGGGAGAAGTGGAAGCAGGTCCTTTGAGAGATCTGGCCTTTGCAATTGCAGGTGACTTTGCTTGTTTTGTTCTATCTTCTTCTTTCTTTTGTTCTTCTGGACCCAATTGAGAATGCAGTCCTTTTTGTCATTTTGATATGAATTTCCTTTTGTTCATGGTGGGGTTTTTGGTTTCAACATCAGGGTAATTTAACAATTTGTTGGAGCTACCAGTTTGTTGGATAAAGGAGGATTTTTTTTTTTCCCATTTTGGGTGAAAGAGAAATCTAGGAAAGGATCAAAATAGAAAATTTTGTGACCTGACAGTAGGAAGAAATTTACTTTAATTAATCTCAGTGTTAATTATATTTGAATTTGGAAATGGGAAAACTTGTACCTATTTAGTTGAGCTCAGATTTATGCTTACTTAGAAAACAAAAGATATGATGGATCCTGAGATTCTCAACTTGATGAATTTATCACCCGTCTGATTGTTTGCTTATTAGTTGGATTGTTTCCCTTTCCTGCATCCTTCTATATTTGTAATGAGTGAGAAACAATGTTCATTTCCATTTACTAGAAGTGAGTTAAGAAGAAGCAAATTTTGTAGTGTATGACTGAAGTTTTAAATGTGATCTTTTGATTTGCCTCTTAAAAAGATCAAATTGAGGAATGCTAAGGAGATGGGGAGGAAAGGAAAATGGTTGTCTAGTCTAAAGAAAGCCTTCAGCCCTGAGTCCAAGGAAAAGAAGCATCAGGTTTGGGGAAACTCCATATTGCGTAAGATCTTGTGAAGTTTTCTAGTTTTCAGTGAGTTTTAATTTTATTTTGCCGCTATTAGAAATCAAAGGAGAATTTGTTCGGGAAGCAGAAGGATTTGGAGCCCACTGCTTCTGAACCAACCACTTTTGAAACTGTCAAGTTACCTCATCCTCAACCTGAAGAGGTGACATTAACTGAAGCTGAGAATGGGCAGAACAGCCAACCTTCCCACCCAGCTGTCACTATTGCCACGCCTGATGATGCTCCTGTTGCCACCTCTGAGACTGCTGTTGAGTTCATTCAACCACCAACAGTCAATCAGTTTGCTGGAAAATCAGAGGAAGCAGCAGCAATCAAGATTCAAACAGCATTCCGAGTACATCAGGTACACATTTCATAAAATTCCATGTGACAATGACAATTATTTATGCTATTTAAGCTGCTGGATTTTCAGTTAGAATTGTTCCTATGGGAAATGGTTTGCAAGTATCTTAAGATACTTTCCTCTTGTCAATGGTCTGAAGTTACCATTCATCCTCCTTTTTATGAGAAGAATGTCTATGCTTAGGGTTGTTATTTATAAGAGGCACTTATGGCATACCTTTTAAAGATAGAATGAAATGTGTTTTAAAGGTCTCTAACATTCCCAACAAGATTCAAAGGCAGAAGTTTTATACAAGAACAAATTAAAACATTTCATATTTCCTCTTGCTTATCAATATAAAACAATTTCACGTGAATTAGTTTGTTGTATGGAAAATCTTGAGTCTGGTATGCAGCATATTGATAGTTAAGGAGAAACAGCATCTTTTAGAGGCCATTGCTTATGGGATTTTTTAATTTCTTCAGAGTATCATGGTTTCTGTTTTTAATGTTAATATTGTTGGATGGTTACTGGTATTCAAGCTAGTTGTAATGCAAATCCACTAATAGGTTAATCATAACATGACTGTGTGGATTGAGAGAATGTGAGAAGACTTGCCTCTAGTAGGATGTATGAAGTTACAGGGAAATATATCTCTAGGTGAGCAAACATGCAACAAGGATACTGTTTCTTTGTAAATTTTGTAGGAGAAACTGGAGGATATATGACAAAATGTCCAAATGTCAAAAGGAAATGTTTCTTTTATTAGAAAATTGTGTTTGAAATTTTTATTGTGAATTTTTGCCTTCAAAGTTTATTGTTTTCAGGCTAGAAGGGCATTGCGTGCTTTAAGAGGGCTGGTTCGGCTGAAGTCACTAATGGAAGGGAATTTTGTGAAAAGGCAAGCAGCTAACACCCTTCGGTGCATGCAAACTCTTTCTCGTGTGCAGTGCCAGATTCGTACTAGGAGGATCAGAATGACAGAAGAGAACCAGGCTCTTCAACAACAACTTCTACAGAAACACGCAAAAGAGCTTGCCAACTTGAAGGTCTCTGCTCCCCCACCCCCAAACAACCACACACACCTTTTTTCTGATATTTCCTATTAATTGACCAATTTACTTGGATTTTTATTTGTTTAATATCCTAGATATCATTAAATGGGATTTTAGCCGTTCAGACTCCCATCCCATAAAATGAGAAATTGTGTTCCATAAATTCTAGTAACTTTACATGGTTTCAAAGTTTCCTCCAAACCATGCCATTTTATATTTGAACTATAAATTTGCATTGGACAATTGAGGATCCAGTTTGTGAACCAAAGCTTAATTCTTCTGTTTAGCAAAAGAACCATAGCTCATGTCTCCAAGTAACAAGGAAATTTCGCTATGGTTTGTGCCTTACTGCTTAACCTGATGTTTGGAAATTTTGAACAGATCGGTGAAGAATGGGATGACAGCCTGCAGTCAAAGGAACAAATTGAAGCAAGCCTACTAAGCAAGCATGATGCGGCTATGAGAAGAGAAAAGGCCTTGGCTTATGCATTTACTCATCAGGTGATCTATTGTCTTCTTATTTTATATATACTTTTTGATTATATAAAATTCAACACCAACTGTTTGATTTTTTTCCCCTCATGTGCTGTATGTTGTGTGCATGAGACTATGAGAGAGATTTAACAAACGTATACAATTCTATGATGAAGCATGGTAAAAAAATCTGGAAGAGATAAAATAGCTTGGTAAGATCTGAAAAGTCAAGAATTCAGATGATCATGGCAGTAATACTATTTTCTTGGTAAAAAATAGTTTGCAATTATTGGCATGATCAACATAGCTGCAACCAAGCTCTTTGCAGCCTGGTTGGTGGGGGGCAAAGAGACAAGTCTTCCATTGCAAGGATTTGAGTCTTGGTAACTGAATAGACAGGATGATCAACATAATTGCTGCTCATTTTTAGGAATGAAAGAACATCTGGTGGCAAGATAAGTATCCTGAAAATTACTTTTGACCTACATTAGTGTCTTGACTCTCCACGAACTCACTTTTGCAGCAAAATATGAAGAATCCTTCAAAAGCTCCAAATGCATTGTTCATGGATCCAAGAAACCCCACCTGGGGTTGGAGCTGGTTGGAACGATGGATGGCAGCCAGGCCATGGGAGGGCCGCAGTATTTTAGAAAAAGAACTGAATAATGACCTTTCATCTGTGAAGAGTGGAAGCCGCAGCATTATGGGAGGAGAATTCACCAAATCTTCCCCAACACCCAGCCAAAAGCCAAGCCTTCAATCCCCATCAACTCCAAAGCAAGCAACCTTTACACTTTCCCGGAAGCTGAAGGCAGCTAGCCCAAGAGGCAATGGCGGGGCACAAGATGATGACTGTAAAAGCATGGTCAGTGTGCAGTCAGAGCGACCTCGGAGACATAGCATTGCAGGCTCGTCAGTTCGTGATGACGAGAGCCTTGCTAGCTCTCCATCAGTTCCAAGTTACATGGTACCTACTCAATCTGCAAGAGCCAAGACCAGGTTACAGAGTCCACTGGGGGCAGAAACAAATGGGACACCAGAGAAAGCAACAAATGGGGTTGCAAAGAAACGACTTTCTTTTCCACAGTCCCCAGCCAGGCCAAGGAGGCATTCAGGCCCACCAAAGCTGGAAAACGGAATTAGAAATACAAAAACTGTGGTAAATGGAGTGGAAAGTTGAGTTATTTGATTTGGCTTGAAATGAAGTGAAGAAAGGGGAAATTATGATCATTGATTTGTAGTCAAACCGTTAATTCATTCTGTTGTTTGGGGGGTGAAATTGCTTCTATTTCTACTTGTTCTTATTAATTTACTTACAATTTTACATTTACTATTTTTTTTTTTCTACTTATCATTGCTTATGTGACATGATTCGTGATTGACAGTAATTTATGTCAAAATTCAGGTGATTAACTATCCCACGTTGTTTGTATCATATTGTGATAATAGTGAATATATGTTCTTGTTTATTTGGTGTTTGAAGTTGCTTTTCTAGTGATGATCAATACCTCAGACGAGATGATTGTCCAAATATTGGATGTTCTCACCTGATCGACCACTTTGATCCAAATTTAACTACATTTTTTTTCCTGGATTACATAGATATACAAATCTTTTTGTTTTTTTGGATGAACATAGATATACAATTCTTCGAACATGCATTCTCAGCATAGTCCATATAAAGACCAAGACGGCAAGACCACTTCACTTCTCAACCACCCATGCCAACTACTATGATTTTTTTTTTTTTTAATTATTTAATTATTTATTATTATTTTTTTTTTAAACTAGGTCGACTTTCGATCAATTCTACATTTTTTTTTCCTATTTTTTTTTTTAATCGTCGTTATTGGTTCAACAAAAAGAGGATGCAATATCCTAGTGTTATGAAAATATTTCTTTTCATACAACTAATCATTCATACATGATCCACCTAAGAGAACAGCTTCTCACTGAAAAATGATGTTGGGCACAAAATCAACCAAAAATAGACACCGGCGACAAGCAAACTCCGAGGATCTTAGGACTTAGTGCAAGACTTCCACTGTTGGTAATGCTCTACATATATTTTGACCATGATCTTCTAAATGATACTGGAAATAAAAGGAAAGAGAACAAGGTAATATCACCACCAAGCTCTGATATTGAATCAATATTTCACCTGTAGGATCACCTCCAATCTTCACCATCTATGTTATCATCACTGTTTCCATTATCAAAATCATCAGCTTCATCGTGATAATCATCATAAGTCTCATCTTCACATAGTATGCCTCCATCTTCCAAAGATCCATGGAATCTTAAATCCTCAGGCTCTGAAGATCCATCACTAGCACTCTCACTTTTCTCCTCTGATCCATTGGAGGACTCATTCTCAAGTTCATCTTCCTCTTCAGATATCTCATCAGGATAGTCATTTCTTGGATTATCTTCAGCTGAGGGCCATCAAATGATTAAACAAGTTAACACAATAACATTTTAGTTTTAGCAAAAAGAAATAAAGATATTATTATTACCATTTGAATCTTCACTGTCATATTCTGACTCATACGCCACATCATAGAAATCCTCATCATCAACTTGTACCCTGGTAAAAGAAAACAAGTTTTGCTAAGAAAGAAATGCGATACAGTTCTATGTCTAGTTTTAAACTAAGAACTGTAAGCTTACAGTGGAAATGGATTTGAAGAATCTTCCTTTTCTACATCCATGTCAGTGTTCACAGTATACAAGTCATATACGTATTCATCTGCATGCCATGTAAAAATAAAACAATAATCATCAAGCAATATTTTAAGAATTAAAGACATTAACTTCCACATCTAATATTGAAAAAATGGCAAAAATCAATTATCTCAAGCACTAACTAGCAATATGGCCAAAAAAACCCTGTAAGATGTCATCTTAAAGTCAGGCTAATCAGCTTTGCACTGCCTTCCCCTCATCTGTAATTGTAAAGTTGTTACTGGGTGAGGCAGCAATTGGGCTAAATATGTGCTTAGACAGGAAGAGAAAGAGACAATAAAAGAATTACTGATAGACCAAACTGCATACAGTAATTGTTAGTTTTCAATAAAACAAGTTCAAAGAGAAGACCTTGGCTTGACATTTGAGCTTGGATATCAGATTCAATCTCCTCAGCAGCACTTGGAATAAACTCTCTCAGTAGAGGCAAATAGCTAGTCAAAATTCTGTGATCCTCCAAAGACATATCTCTGCTTCCAAATAAGAGTAACAAAATCCTCAGAAGTGAGCATTACACATGTTGGAGATGAATAAATTTCAAGGAAAACTTACTGCTGTTCCTTTACATCATTGGATCTTTCCTCAGCACCATCAACACGAACAACTTCATAAAAATGACACATTTCATCTACTTCCTCCTTTTTCCCCTTTCTGCTCCTCCATATTTGTTCAAAACGGGCATTTTTTGCCAATTCCTAACAGCAATAAAATAAAGGAAAGGAAAAGATAATATTAAATGCAAAAATTCCTAAATTCAAAATAAAAAAGTGGTGACTGTAGACTACATTATAGCATTTACCAAAAGATTACAATCCATGTACTTCAATAAAAAGAACCCAAATCGGGGTTGCAATCCTGAAAATCCTTTTATTCTGCTACCAAAGTCCAGGATATAAGTCTCTTAAAATAAAACTTAGCCATTAACTTTCCTTAATAAAATAACAAACGACTTCCCATGTCACAACGTCTTAGGAGGATGAAAATTTCAACTTTTTTTCAGCATAAAAGTGTTCCAAATACTGCATTTGAAGTACATCAATCAACTGTTCAAATAAATATCTAAGATGCCAGTTATTGACATAATCGAATAGCCTATCAGCCACCAGAACCAATAGATACCACTTTCAGTTTGTCTTTGAAGAAAAGGAGAATTAACAGGCAAAATTAAAGGCTCTCACTTAATTACACAGAAAGACATAACATTATATTAATGATGTACCTCTTGCTTTTGTCTGGACTTGGATAACAGATTTGGTCTCTGTAAAAACCAAAATGCCAAAGCATCAGCTACAGAGTCAAATAAGTTTTAAATATGCTCTGAGAGAGAGAGAGAGAGAATACATTATCCTTTTTAAATGTGTTCCTTCTTTCCACAGCCCTTGTCTTATGCTGACTAGCATCAGCAGAATTGCTCTGTCAAATAACAGCAATTAAAACATTGCAGATTTGAGACTTGTAACAAGCAGTAACTAGTAAGGCATCAGTAGGATAGAAAATGTAATCAGAAAAATGGGAAATGATGACAACTAAACAAGTCAAATACATGAAACATGGCAAAACATTACCACAAGACAAACAGATAGACTAGTCATTAAAAAATGAGCAACATGTCCTACTGACCACAACCAACTGCACAATATCAATGGTCGCCTCGGGGTTCAGAACTGTTTGAACGTGCTGCACAAGTACCCTCTTAGTCCTCAATTCTTCTGATATAGAAGAAAGTTAAGGCATCAGATAAAGAATGGAAGAGAAATGGCAAATCAGAAACATTAGTTATTTCCAAAATCGAGACAGTGCAAATTAAGAAAGAAATCATTGAAGTTAACTTGATGAGAACTAAGCTAGCAGCTACAGCTATACATGTAAAAGGGCGCTGCCAACCTCTGTGACTTCACAATCCAGAAGCAATTAACTTGTAATTTATAATTTTCTCTAGAGTTACAAAGTGTCCTAAGGAGCTCAAAATGAAGCTCATAATCAAGTGCTTGTAGGAGAACTACCAAAAGAATCTTAATTTACAGCCATTAAAAAAAATAATTTCATAGATTACACAACCATCATAAGTAAACGAATCCCACAGATATCATTTCAATTAAGTAATTCAAAGAAATTTCTGCTAATGTAGATTGTTCCTAATCAAACAAAAGGAAAAGGACAAGGAAATAAAATGCAAGAAACAAACAAGTAAATTTCAACTAGAACAAACCATTTCCAGAAGATTCAGCAATCGATAGCTTCTCAAAATCCAAAAATGGCCGCTTCAAAGGCCTCTCGTTGATTTCTAGCCCTGAAAACACAAATATCCCCATCATTCTCAAAATAATCACCACGGACTTCTCGGTACATCTTTCAATTTTCTAAGGAAGAAACGAAAGCATGCAAGAAGAAACAGAAAAGCAGCAAACGATAACTCACAGAAAGCATCGAGCGGAGACTGAGAAGCTTTGCGCTTAACCCTAACAACCACCGGCTTTTCGCCCGGAGACTTTGGGATCGACGAAGAGCCTTCACCGTTAGCAGTCGCCATGACTGACTTCGCCACCTCCGGCTCCGGGATTGATTCCATCAGTTAGGTTTAAGCTTGTTTTTTCGCGCTTGTAATTCTCAGCAAAAGTAAGGAGACGTTTTACATGTCTTGGTTTGCTTGCTGTGCTACAGTGCGCGGGATGCTCAGAGTCGACCGACTGGCTGCTCGCCGAATCATGTCCGGTCCAGTTCGATTCCTCTGGAGTCTAGACCGTAGTAAATTTTTTTTTTTTTTGGCCGGGAAGTAAATTAATGTTGTTTGATTTTTTTTTCTTGCAATTTAATTCTTTTCTATAACTTTTAAATAACCACTGAAAATTTTATTTTTTAATATTTTTATTTAGTAATTTTATTTAATAAAAAATTTTAAATGTTGTATTAATTTTTCTTAAAAAAAGAGAACTGCACATAAAAAATGTTTTTTCTTTGGGTAATTCACATTAAAAAATATTTAAAAAAACAAAATATCTCAAGTCAATGGAATGGCGGTCCAAAGAGACGGTCGAGCAAGAAAACAAACTGCTATATATTAATCACCCGAGCAATTATCTTCGTGGTTCGAATACTTTTATTTCTTTTTTTGCAAGAAATTTTGTTTATTAATTTCCAGGAAAACAGAAATCAAAGGATTCCCCTGTAACTTCCCTGCAAAACCCTAATCGAATTATCGGAACAAATCTCAAGACCCAGAGAGCTCTACATAAATGGTGAGTCCATCTTTTTCGATGTTCTATTTTCTTCTACTGTAAATCTCTCGAACATCTTTGGAAGTTAGGGATTGTAATCTAAGCACAACAGAAGAGCGAATCTATTTTCTTGTTAAGGATTATGATTCTGGAAATGATTCCGATTTTGGGGTTTCGCGTCGTTTGTAAATAGATATTTGGCCTAATTTCTTGTAAAAGTCTTGAGCTTTAATCTTATTTTTTAAAACCCCCTTTGTTTTTTCTTGTTTATTATGCCAGTAATTATGATTATTATGCTTGATTATAGAGGTTGTCATCTAAACTGTTATTGTAAATTGTCAATCGTTGATAGAAATGTGTATATTTATCTTTAATTAAAGGTGATGAAAGTGAAATTAAGTATTAGAAATGCTCCTTATGACTATAGTAATTTCAATGAGCTCCATCTGACTAGGAAAGAATCAGGCTACTCCGTTTATAGCAGGACTTGCTGTGGCAGCTGCAGCTTATGCTGGTAAATATAGCATCCGGGCATGGCAGGCATTCAAGGCAAGACCACCAACGGCTAGAATTCGCAGATTTTATGATGGGGGATTTCAGCCTACCATGACGAGGAGAGAAGCAGCTCTGATTCTTGGTGTCAGGTAATGTTGACATCTCTTGTTCAAGTGTGAAATTTGTGTCAAGTTCTCTACGTTGATTGATAATTGTTTGTAAGCTTGCTTTTATGTGTTAATTTTGTGTAATGAAATTGTTTTGCTGAAATCAAGAGCCCAAGTCTCACTTGGTTCATGTTTTAGTACTCTATTTGGTTGGCATTACAAAAGGGAGGGAAAGGAAAGTGTGAAGGGTAGAAGGGGAAGAAGATAGCTATACTTAGATTTTTGGATAGAATGTGAAATTCCATTTATCCAACGTGATGGTCATTCCTTTCTAAGTGTGAGTTACATTATGATTATCTGATGTTTTAGGAGCTCTGCTCGTTGGTAGTAAAATGTTTTTACATTTTTGATATTTGTTCTGTAAGGTTATGCATATTATCTTATTGCTTGAGTAACTTATTGTTTCCTATCATGTGACTTCTTGTATCTCTGGTGTTTCACATCCTCTTGCTAATTTATATGCTGCCTGAATCCATCTTTTCTGTCTTTTCTGTCTGGCACCAGAGAATCAACTCCTGTAGATAAGGTTAAGGAAGCGCATAGGAGGGTAATGGTTGCAAACCATCCTGATGCAGGCGGAAGCCATTACCTGGCTTCCAAAATTAATGAAGCAAAAGACATTTTGCTTGGGAAAGGCAAGGGAAGTGGTTCTGCTTTTTGATGGCATTAACCTTTCATTTACTTGAAGATCCCCTGGGAAAGCTGAGTTTTGAAGACTGATCTACTCCTCTGCTTAATCCCTCTGCAATTTTGTGCAAGAAAATGCTGTAGCAAACCCCGGAAGATGGAATAATTACTGAAAGGGTGTCTTTTGAATTGATTCTTTAGGACCTGATGGCCTGTCAAATCTCTGTGTTACTTATATTGACTACGTATGAGATTGGAATTTTAAAATTGTCAAATGAAATTGCCCTTCAATGGAGGTTAGTGTCAAGAAATGGGACTTGATGATATAATCATATTTGGTACCATAGCCTAATGGCTAACATTGAAATGAAGTGAAGTTTCTAATTAACTGTCTCGGCTTGAAGCCCTTTTGAGGGGTACACATGCCCCTTTAGAATTAATATCTCCGGCCAGTTTACAAGAAAGATGACGTTTATCACCTGCTTCTTAATTATCGTCCTGCTCTACACAGATAACTGCCAAATACAACGTTAACTAATCCAGCAGGGTTAAAAAGGCAAAATATTACTAGCACCTGAACTTGTATCTTTAAAGGTACAACGCATGGGTCTAAGGTACGTAGTTCGAATCCCCTGTCCTCAATACCAAAAAAGGACAAAATCTTGGAATTTAGAGAAACTAGTGAGAATGCATCTCCTTGTTAAGAGTATATTGCTAAATTTTCTGCCTGCCACCCTGTATCATCTCACCTTAAAAGTGCTTAACGTCCGAAATTTTCGAGACTATCTTTCCCGCTCCCTTGAGTTATAGAGCAACCTGTGGTATTTACATAAGAATATGGGCAAAAAGAGCAAAGAAAAAAAAATCTTTGTAAATTCGTGGTGAATTGTATCATTCTTTTGCAGAAGCGACATTTGACGCTCGCTTTTCAGTGTCTCCATCCGAGGAAGTTTCACTCATTTTCACTGCCTGTTCAAGAGGCCCTTGAGGACTTCCAAAAAGTGTAGAAAATATCTGCCTATGGCACTCATCACATAGAAAGAAATAAGAGAAGTGGCCTTCATTTGGAAGCTTGTGCATGATGGCTCTTGGTAGGGGCCGGCTTATGTAATCTGTCATTGCTGGTGGAACAACTTGATCATCCATCCCCTGCTCAGAAGTTCACAATTAAATTAAAATTAAAAAACTTATGGTAAGATGCCTTTTGTTGACTCAATGCCTATGCAACAATGATAAAAAGGCAACAGAATACTTGAAATTTGAGGTTGCTGCCAGATGGTCAATCATAAGATGCCTAACAGAAACCACATGAATGGCTCTTGGCTGACACGAACGCAAAATCTCATTGTTGGTTCTAGTGATGACAGGGTTACCTCCCAAACTATATGAGAAATAACATTGTAATGCCATTAAAAGAAAGTAAATCAAAATAAAGGGCAGAGTAAAAAATATCTAACCTGCCACATATGTATTGGGCCTAGAAAACCTGTCAATTTGCATTCTGCCTGTCTGTACATGGACATGAGCCAT